GAAGTGACTGTATGAACTCGAATTCCGAAGTTATTTAGGTTTAAGCTGTCCGTGATTAGTTTCCTAAATGTGACAGTGTCGGCTAACTTCCACAAATTGACGTACATAGTTTGTCTACTGGCATACCCACTCATATATATCAATGGTGAATATGTAAACATGTTCTCTAGAGCTTATCAGTGGAGAGTAGAGAAGAATAGAAGAATGCAATCAGTGTGCAGAAGAGTAGAGAAGGAATTCCGTTGTGCCTTCTGCCGAGCGTGGTGTGCTCGATAGTTAGCTCCCATTGACATTTGATAGCGCAACATTCCTCTGTTGTTGTCTTACTTCTCGCCTTCTTCGGATGCTTGCCTTTGCCTTTGCTGCTTGAAGAATTGGTGTTTTCCTAACGAACTTGCTTTGAGCTTTTAAACTCGAGCACTTTGTCACGAATAATCGAGCTTTTGTATTCTTCCTCTGTTAGGTATAGGTAACTAGCAGTAACATTACGCAAGGGACAGGACGCCCGAAATGTTCCCAGTCTCTCTTTCAAACGGTTGTGTAAAACTCCTCGCGCTTTTGCGCTTCGTTGGGTGTTCTTGTTCCTTGCTTCTCCTTTAACAATTTCTATCTGCTTCTTAAGCTCTTTCCAACTCTATAGAGTGCGTTAATCATCAGGTATCATCGCTATTGGTGGATAAATATCGAAGGCGTTCGTCCTCTAGCAAAGCATCGTCCTTTATTTCCTCACGGCCGACAACCGCGATCTTTTTATCAGAAGCTTGATGGGAACTCATCATGATTGTCAAATGTTTTGTTTTGTTTTTTTTTAGGTAAATTTTGTAATGGACGCTTCTAAAATAGCATTTATAGCTCCCTTTTATTTACCACATGAATCTATGACTCTCCGTTCTTTTCACTTACTCAGTTGTTCGTTTGGTGAACCCTTTTAATCACCCATCTTCTGGTCGTATTGAGGTGCAACACAGTGGCACATGGGGAACCATTTGTGGCCACTCATGGGACTTGAGGGAAGCTGAAGTAATTTGCCGCCAGCTTGGATTCGATGGCGCTTTAAAAGCGTTAACACGGGCATGGACTTCATTTGGAAAAGGAGTAGGCCAGATATGGTTGGATGATTTGCAATGCCGAGGAAATGAGACATCAATATCAGAATGCTCTCACTTAGGATGGGGAGTTCACGACTGTAATCACTATGATGACGTTGGCGTCGTTTGTCGACCTGCAGGTAAGGCGGCGATACACCTAAACAATAGATCATTCAAAGTAAAAAAAAAACTTGTAGCTGTAATTGTAAGTTCACTTAGAAGAGCATCTTAGGGAGGTTCCCCTTAAGGCCCATGAACTTATTAGTAACTGGTTAATAATTAATTCCACGATTAATGGTTATTCGAGTGTTGGCTATTGCAATGATTTTTTCCGATTTTGACCGTATTGTCCAATTTCCGCAACGTTGTATTTTCTCTCAAGCGTAATGAAACAAGATCACCCGCCTCTATTTCTTGACACCAAGGTCGTCAGAGACGTTGAGTCTCACAGTCATTTAGGCCTAACTTTGCAGAGTAATATGTCGTGGAGAAATCGTATGGTTAAGATGTACAAGAAAGCCTCTAAACGATTAAATATGCTGAAATGTGTCAAATACAAAGTTGATAGATCCACTTTAACATGCTTGTACAAAACCCTGATTAGACCACTCATGGAATATGGGGATGTTATCTAGAACAACTGTCATAATCGTGATTCAGCTTTACTGGATAATGTTTAATACGAAGCCGCAAGGGTGGTAACAGGAGCCATTAAGGGAACTAGCTTTGCGAGGTTACATGATGAACTTGCTTGGGAACCTCTTAGTATCAGAAGAGAACTACATAAATTAAGCCAATTTTACAAAATAATTTTGCTCCACGTTATTTAACTGAAATATTGCCCATAATATCTAGTGAACGTACTCATTTTCGTCTCAGATCAAAAGAAAACTTCACTCAACTTCATTCTAGAACTTCTTCGTTTCAAAAGCCTTTTTTTTCCATCAGCAATCACTGGCTGGAATTCTCTGGACCTAGATGACCGAAACTCCGTATCTCTTCCCACTTTTAAAGCGAAAACTCGGTCAATTCTCTTTCCGCATACTCACAATAGGTTATATGATTGTTCTTTTACAAGGCGTGCATCTGTTAATCACACCCGCCTTGGACTTGGGTTCTCTTGTCTAAGAGAATATCTCTTCAAAATTAATAGTTGTACGTCGCTTATTTGCGAGTGCAGTTTGACTCTGAATCGTTGAAACACTTTTTCTTGTATTGCTCAAGGTATATATGCCGCTAAATGTGATGTCTTCTTACCTCTGCTGCTAATATTCTAGGTGAAACATGATCATCGAGTAGCGATGCTAGGAAACTAAATTTTTTATTATATGGTGTTGAGCCTGAAAAATACGACGTCAACTGTGTTTTTTTTCGCGAAGTACAAAATTTTATAATTAATACTAATCGCTTTTCTGTGGCCATTGTTTAATTGTTTAAATAATATATTCATAGCTTAGTAAGTTTAACTCTGTTATTGCAACTTGTGTGTGTTGTTTATGTGTCTGTTTGAGTGTGAGCCTGAATAAATTGATTATATATTTGTAATATTGTAATACCCCTCGTTAAGCCTAAGTGCTTTTGGGGAAAACAATGATAAATATGTTTAAATTAAAAAAAAAAATCCGCTAGGATTGTGATTAGCTCGTCAAAAGACCTCCTTCCAGACTAACACTTAAGTTCTTGTTTTGGCTTTTGCACTCAAAGATGAATTGGTAGATCAGCAGCATTAGGTTCGTTGTTGTTCAGTAGTAAAATCCTCGTGAAAGAATTTGCCCTAATGTTCTAACGGGAACTATTTAATCTCTTAACGAGAGTTGACCAACATGACCATCCATTCCTACTGATCGTATACATTTAACAACTGTTCCATGAGCGGGCGTTGGATCTGAGAAGATAATAGTCAACGGGACGCGTAGCGCCGAGCTGCCTATAAACAGACTCGTATCCTACAACTCCGAATTTAATAATTGTTTCATTTTATTTCATCAAATCCTGAATGAGTTGATATTTGAAGCTTTTCCAGCTTCGTAACAGTTGGCGCAATGCATTTCCATATGAGGTGACTCGGAGTATGAGCTGATAACCGAAGTTAAGAGAACCAATCAGAACACCAGAAATGCAATATTTGCTGTTGAAAATCTAATAAATGTATGTATAAAAGTGTTTACTGCATAGTTGATATCAGGTGTATCAGAGTAGGAGTGAGGTTAACGTCCTACAGTGTCAGAGTTAGTCGGAGATTTCATTAAGAGAGGAGAAACGAAGGAAGTGAATATCCTTCGAGAGGAAGTTATCGTTTACAGTGTTAACGAAGAACAAAAGGGATATTTCAAGAAATCAAAGTGCCTTCAGCCAAGTATGGTACACTCTTTAGATGGTTTTGCCCAAAAAATATAGCAACAAAGTTTATTAGCCTAATCATGATTGTATTTTCATATAACCAACAGTGCGTTTGGTGAGTCCCACCAGGTCACCATCTTCTGGTCGAGTTGAAGTGTTTTACAATGGAACATGGGGAACCATTTGTGACAACTCGTGGGACTTAAAGGACGCTGATGTAGTTTGTCGTCAACTTGGATTCGAAGGAGCTTTATCAGTGTCTGATGCTGCGGCATTTGGACAAGGAACTGGCCAGATATGGCTGGATGGCATTAGATGTGTAGGAGATGAGACATCAATATCAGAATGCAGCCACGGCGGATGGGGAGTTAACAACTGTGGACATAGAGAAGACGCTGGTGTGGTGTGCCGAAACGCAGGTAAAATGACGATTTATACTCATTATACAATGATAACTCTATTGCCCCTTCGGAATAAATGCTAAAATACATGGAGAATAGTTCCAATTTTTTACATTTCCTCGTTTACGAGTGCTGGCTGGATACAATCCAGACTAACGTTGCACAGAGGTGGAGAAACTTCTTGATAAACTTCCTAACAAAGTCACAACTTGATCGTCTTCAAGAATAGGCACTCAAATCGCGGCAAATTCGACGTTGATATAGCGCTGGCGTCGCATCATCTGCAAGAGCTTCAGAACCATTTACAAAACCCCAGAGTCGTTTAGTCACAAGTAAATGTATCCAAGTGTTCTACTTACTTACTTTTAAGTTTGTCGATCAACCACTTCTGCAACATGTTTAATTTATAGAGCACACTAAAAATTTAAGTCGTCACGACGCAAAAAAACTCAAAAATATATGTTCCGCGCTCTTCGATGGTTACACAAATAATACATCAAACCTGACATATAAACTTGGACTAAAAACAATGGTGGTTTACACAGCATGAAAAAAGATACTTTTGTTCAATCGTTAGCTTAATTCCTGTAAGATGGAGTGCAATTAAAGAACAACATATCATTCTATTCTGTTAATCTAGTTAAAATTTGCATAGAGCGTGTTATAAAATAGGTTTGATTGCTAAGCTGTGATTGGATGGAATTCCACGGCTGTGATTAGTGCATATTCGGATCAGGTTCCCTCTGTGGTCCGTTGCACGAAAGAGGACGAAAGAGGAAGGATAACCACCAGATACAAGAACCGATGATCAAGATAACGCCTGATACCTTTCTCAAGTCATCAGATCTATGACATAACCGTCACCAAATCACTCAAAAATTTGGAGCAAAACTGCTATAAAAAATAGTAGTGTTGAAATGATAGTGCACATACAGCCATTCACCAATATCATCCTTCCTATCCTCCTTTCATCGACCTTTTCTAAAAACAATGATCTTATTATTCTCAACCGGGGATTTCCAGTTTTGTTTACCTGTTAGATAACCAATTTTTCTGAATATTATCATTTACCTCACGTGGGTCTGAGCGCAAAACGATTTCCTACTGAATTGGCATCGTTAAATGTCTTAGTACTCTTAGTTCAGTATTAGTTTATAACTAGCCTTTTTACGGAGATTGTAGTTGAATTTTTGTTTCGACATGAGGATCAATAAAGAAAGGTTCAGAAAAAAACCGTTAAACCAATCGATATAGTGTAATCATGTTGCATTTGGAAGACTGTTCCTCACAAAGAAAGTGCGCCTTTATCTGTTTTTGTCATTTTTCCCGTTGCAATTTAAGGTCTTTACCAACCTTAGCAACAAAGAATGACTGTTGGCTACAACGTCGGTATCATTGGTGTTGGTAGATAACTGTCGTAGATGGTCATCATCCAGCAGAGTATCACCTTCATTGAGATGACGAGCAATTTATACTTAAAACGTCGTTCTCTACAGTTTAAGTGACTACATTGTGCGATGACTGGAAAAGTTTCCACATAATTAAAGTATTTTAGGATGATAAAGGGACTCGTGCGCCCTAATTGTGATGTTTCCGCTTTTTCGCGGTAAAATTTCATAATCATTTATGAAATGATCCGAAACAGCCTTTTCATGACTAAGTGTAAACTTTTTTGAGCGGTTTACACAGCTTCCTGTAAAGGGAAGGCGATTCGTGTTTCAGTTTGTCGAGGGAATTGAAAGTATGTAGGTCCACTTTGATTATATTCCTACTGGAAAGATTCGATGGAGAAAGACTATGATTATTCTTAAAGATAACGACCTACGACGTTCCCTCCTATCTTATCAAACTACATACATATACTTTATTTATGCTCAAAATTCACAGTGTAGCTGTAGAGCTAACATCTTCGAGAAAATAAGCTAAAAATAAAATAAAAATATGCTATATACAATTCCATTATTATTTATAAACTAAATACAACATTACGCATGAAGAGGGAAGTATAACTTGTTGATCTACTGTAGAAAAACGTCATATCTGAGGATCTCCTGCTTGAATTCTAGAAAATTTAATGTTTTGTAAGTGTCTGGGAGAGAGTTCCATATTTTGCTAGCTAAGTATGAAAAAGAGTGCAGACCGTAAGTCGTTGTTTTTGGGTTGGGAAGGGCCAGGATATGATTTCCGCACAAATTGTAGGATGAAGACCGTACGGTGAACTTATCTTTTGAATAACCTGGATAATTCGTAAAGAACAGACTCTTATATAACGTGATCATGAAGTTCTGGAGGCGTCTAATGAATAGAGATTTTAAGTTAACTATGCTTAGTAAAATGGTACCAGCCCAGTTGGAGATGGTATCTCCAATCTTTACTCGCTGCTGTCTTCCTGACAAGTAGTCCATAAGTAGCGCGCAACTTCCTTCGTCAACTCCATATGCTTTGAGTTTTGCCAAGAGTACGTCATGCTGAATGACATCAAAAACTTTAGAAAGGTCCATAGAGACAATTGCAACCACTTCCCCTTTATAAACTCGAAATTAAGTTGGATAATTCCTCAAGATTTAAAAGATCATATTCTGAACACCTTCTCATTCCACTTAATCAGCTGTTCGTCTGGTTAATTCCTTCAATTCGTCACATTCCGGTCGGGTTGAAGTACTGTATAAAGGTGTATGGGGAACCATTTGTGGCTACTCATGGGACTTAAAAGACGCTGATGTAGTTTGTCGCCAGCTTGGATACGAAGGAGCTTTAGCAGCACTTCGTAACTCAGCATTTGGACATGGAAGTGGCCAGATATGGCTGGGTGACGTGCAGTGTATAGGGGATGAGACTTCAATATTACAATGCAGTCAAATAGGATGGGGAGTTCACAGCGGTTATTGTAGGGGCAGTGATGATGCCAGTGTAGTTTGCCGACCCTCAGGTAAGAGGACGATACTTATAAACATCACATAAACCTCATCCATAGTTTGTTAGTAGTTGTTTTAATTGCGTGAACAGTGATAGACGAACGAATAGAACGTCTTTGAACAGACTTCCTTCCACCTACCCTCGAACCCATTGTTGATTTGCTCCTTCTGTGTTCTGTTCATAACGTTATTTGTAGTAAAAAAAAAGTTTCGAAAACGTTACCCATTTTGTTTACATTCCGTTCAACTTCTAGTTAACCCCGGCCCAATTGACTCCTTACAGTTTAAAACAGAGTTATGATCCTCTAAATTCTCGAAAACTATTGCTTCTTCTGTGGAAAAAATGGTTTGGAAAAACCCAAACAGTGTAAAACAAGATAAATCCTAATATCATACTGCCAACAGTTCGTTTGGTGAGCCCCACAAATTCACCAACATCTGGTCGTGTTGAACTGCTGTTCAATGGTACCTGGGGAACCATTTGCGACACCTCGTGGAACTTAAAAGACGCTGATATAGTTTGTCATCAGCTTGGATATGATGGAGCTTTATCAGCACCTGGTAATGCAACATTTGGACAAGGAGCTGGTCAGATATGGCTGGATGACGTTAAATGTGTAGGAAATGAGACATCAATATCACACTGTAATCACAGAGGATGGGGAGTTCACAACTGTGGGCACCGTGAAGACGCTGGTGTGGTTTGCCGACCCACAGGTAGAGTAACGATACCAGCACTTTTTATTGCTACATTTATTAAGCATGAAAATAGAACAAATGAGAATACGAGAAAGTCGTTACGTATTTCCGACAATTGTTCAACTAGCCCTTAAACCTCGCGCTGCGATCCTATTTCCGTCAAAGCTGAAAGCGTTGCCATTTCTTGTTATTTTTTCAAGCGGTTTACTTCATGACCGTTTTGATAACCCTAATTTGTATTTTGTGTCATTCTTGTTATCAAGGCCATGAGATAAATAATAGCTTGCATGATGAAAAAGGAACAGAAAATGTCTTTTATCATGTCAATGGTGGTCTCGCTAGAAGCGGTCCTCTCGATTTCCTTACCAAAGAAAGTTTGCCAAAGGAAAGAGTTCGGGAAAATAAAAATAGTTCAATTATTTTCAATTTCTTTCTTATCTTTTCACCAGAAAAGCGAAACTTGATTTTTGGCTACAAAGCGCGAGAGAATGGTAAAATCTCTTCGTGCAACTGCAAAATGAACATCTTGCCTTTCTTCGGTCTCCGTTCTATAGACACCCAATATACCTAACGGTCTTTCACTGAGAGTATTCCTTTAGGCAAAGTAACGAAGGGAAAACAATTCATCGGTTATATGCTTCGGACACTTCTTTTTATCAGCTTTCTTTTTTTTTTTTTTTAATTCTTATATGGTATACAACGTTCTTAAGCGGCAAATGCAAACTCTCGAATCTTCAAACCAACGAAAATAACTTTGCTTGTTATCTTGTGTGGCGTTGACTATGCTAATTAATCACTTGTACTTAATGAGCATGACATCAATTCTGATGAGAGAAATTAACATTGGGGTGTCCACTGTTACGTTTGTGTTTCGATGACCACACTTCGCAAAAAGTGGTCTTTGGTACCCACAGACCCTCGTTCATTATCGAAAAAACGACTTTAAAAAGAAATATCATTTATAATTTTTTTTCAGAGGGCACGATACAAATTTTGTAATCTGATTGGTTCTTAGCGCTTTCCATATTTCCTATCTCGGCTGAAGTGTACGGTAACACTTTCGTGAGTCACCGAGAACATCCCTTGCTTCGTTGCCATTCTTTATAAATAATTTTTTTCCGGCTGGGCATTATTTTAAAAAAAAAAGTGTCTTTAAGCAAATCAAGCCGATTAATAACTTATTAATCGTCTCTTTTTTTCACTCTCAAATCACCTTGATTGCCAGTAGTAAAATTATTTTCGAAATGAATTTGTAGTAACAAATGCGTCATTAAATGGGTTGATATGTGACTTAAAAACAGATTCCAATTAACTTACGTCCTTCGCAAAAAGTAACTCAGAAAATTAAGGCTGTAAGATATTTGTTTAAAATTAAATAAAATTTAATTTTAAACAATTAAATCAATTTTTGTCGCTGTAGCGAAGTTTTCAGACCCACTTCATCCACGCTTTCATTCGTTGCAAGACGACTTGTTTAATTTGGCCATTTTCACTACAAATTGCACTGTAAATTGTACTGTAAATTGTACAATTACTTTCCTTGCAATTTACAGAGGCATTCTTGGCAAACTAATCGTTGATGGAAGTGAATAATACTCTCTGTGAAAACATTAAATAGTTTTGAAGAAATAAACGTCGTGACAGTCACTGAACCTGAGTCTGTTTGCCAAACCAGTACCATTGTTTTTGTTTTGTTTTTTTTTTTCCATGAGCGTTTTTTTCCTTACGCGCTCTCTAACTGACAGGTGTCAGATTGTGACTGATGCTTTCAAAAAAATGTTAGTAAGTTTCTTTGAAAGCTTATTGAGTCACTTATCGCTAAACAAATAGAGATGTTTTGGTGAAGTCTCTCTCTTTAATTTGCATTATTTCTGTTTTAACTACCATTACTCACTTAAAAATTGTTCAGTTTCAAGAAGGATTTTGTCGTAATTACAGCCTTAAATCATTTGAGTCATTTTGGCTGCAATTTTGTGAAGTTTTAGATAAAAATAAAAACTTTATTTGCCAGAGTAGGTCAGTCCGTATTGGGAAAGACTTTGCCTTCTGTCTTGAGTACCGCGAGTATTTAAGACCTAGAGCACAGTTTTTCCCAATACAGATCTCCCGGCTGGCGAATAACATAAGTATCTCTTCGTAAGTGTTCCTTGATTCAACTACGACTCTCAAAAAGTAGTATTCCAGTGCTAGTCGGAAATCACCTTTCTCGTACTAGGTAGGATGCACCAATCTTCGACTGGGAACCCATCAGGAATACTCCCAAAGATCTCTTATTCTTTTGTTATATATGGTGTCGGGCTTTACACTTATAGTAAAAAAGGGTTCAAAGAGGATTCGAATATATCAATTTTGATATTTCTTCTTTACTTTCGGTGAAATTTTGAAAATGCTGGTCCGATAAAATTTCAAGGAAAAAAACCAGGCAGACAAAACTGTCGTCTGTGTTAGTGGTATGAAGTTGTTTGCTTAAATATATGGGGTCCAACGGGCTTAAATGAGTAATACAGGTAGCGCCTGGAATGAATGTCGCGCAAATGCACTTTACAATTATTCTTTAAAAACCTATTTTTAGAGACCCTGATTTCATTATATTCATCGAAATCTTGAATTCGTCATGTTATCATTCCCGATGTCTTAAAATTGACTGAAGATTAACTGGGTTGCTTCTGTTTACCGTCAAACAGCTGTCCGTTTAGTGGATTCCAACAATTCGCCAAGCTCTGGTCGTGTTGAAGTGCGGTACAAAGGTGTATGGGGAACCATCTGTGACCATTCATGGGACTTAAAGGACGCTGATGTAGTTTGTCGCCAGCTTGGATATGAAGGAGCCTTAGCAGCACCTCATAACTCAGCATTTGGGCAAGGAACAGGCCAGATATGGTTGGCCAATGTGGATTGTGGGGGGAGCGAGACATCAATATCACAATGCAATCATGGAGGGTGGGAAATTCACAGCTGTTATCACAGTTCAGATGCTGGTGTAATTTGCCG